TTTCCTGATTTGTTAGAGGTATGGGGTCCTACTGAGGTCCTGTCCTTGCCACCAACTTCCTCCATGCACAGTGCCACCCCTAATTAATAGCTTATACACCACTGGCAAATCAGGGGATGAGGGCTCCTCTCTTTCCAGTGCGGCTATATATACTTCCCTTGCAAACAAGGCCCAGTATCTTCCTTTTTGTTTTAAATCTGTTCCCTGCAAGCAGCAGTGTTTCTAAGAGCGGGGTTCTGGGTAGGCATAAACACATTCTCTCCCTCTTCCCCATCCCATGTTGAAGATTAAATGTGCTAAATAATGATAGCGCTAGTAGCATAGATGTGTGTGTGTGTGTGTGTGTGTGTGTGTGTGTGTGTGTGTGTGCGCGCGCGCGCGCGTGTGTGCGCGTGTGTGTTGGTTAGTTTGGGCTCTGTTTTTTGTCAACTTGACACAAATCATGACATATTTGTAAAAGTGACTCTCAACTGAGAAATGCCTGCAGGGAAATCTGTGGAGTATTTTATCACAGCAACGGAAAGCCAGCTAGGACAATGTGTGAGCATTCACAATCCTCAGAGTAACTCTTTACATTTAGAGAAGAACACTGAGATTCAGCAAGGTGATGAATCTCACCTTGCTGATGAATCAGATGGCTGATTATATGTGTGTATACTCAAAAATTGTGTGATAGCATTATGAGGTCAGGACCTTTGAGAGAGTATTGGGGAAGAGAGCTTGCCCTCAAGAATGGGATTCATGCTCTGACTAAAGATGCCTTTAGAAACCTGTTTCCTCTTCTTCCATGTGAGGATGCAGTGAGAAGGTGCCATCACTGACCAATGGGTCCTCACCAGACAGCAGATCTGTTAGTGCTATGACCTTGGACTTCTCAGGCTTCAGAACTGTGAGCACTCACTTCTGTACTGACTGTCCAATCTTAGCAGTTCTGCTATAGTGACCCCAGGACACTGCAGTGGTCCTCTGTGTAGCTTTCTTGGCCCTCATTAGTGTTTTAATGTTAGTTTTAGCAAAGCTCTACTAACTGCAGCATTTTAATGATTGAGTTAACACTTAAAACATTTATCCTTCAGGTCCAAGTTTTATTTAATTAGCAAAATACTGGGGGAAGCCGACGTGGTGGCACACACCTTTAGTCCCAGCACTTGGGAGGCAGAGGCAGGAGGATCCCTGTGAGTTTGAGGTCAGCCTGGTCTACAAAGCTGCACAAAGAAACCCTGTCTCAAAACAAACAAACAAAAATACTGAGGGGACGAGTTGTTTTAAAATAAAGCTATTTCTGATGAAAAATATAATTAATAGAGGACCAAGCTGGGATTAAAATCCGGGTAGTTTTACTTCATGGCAATATTCCAAGGTGTACTGGGGCAGATACACAGCAGAAAAGTTTGTCCAGTGACAAGTTGAAAGAATGTAAAAGTACCAATAAGATCAACCAGAAGTCAGAATGGATCTTCACTATCGCCTCATATTTTCAGTTTTTAATAACACAGTAATGAAACATTTTTCCTTTTTGGGTGGGTCACTTTCATGGGCTTAGTAAGCTAGATACTCTCATATCTATGTGTGGATCCAACCTGCAGCAGCTACAGCACATTCAGGAAATGCAACTGAAAACCTGAAACCTGCAAGAAAATAAAAAGATAAGAAGCCCGTGGGCTTATGGTTTGTTTTATTGGTTGGCTTTTGGGAGGTGTTGTTAGTTTTTTGTTTTGTTCCATTTTGTTTTTACTTTTTGATTTTCCGAGACAGGGTTTCTCTGTGTAGCCTTGGCTGTCCTGGAATCACTTTGTAGACCAGGCTGGCCTCGAACTCACAGAGAACCGCCTGCCTCTGTAGCCCAGTGTGCTGGGATTACAGTATCCGGCTTTGTTTTCACTTTTTAAAGTTACTGCGGCAAAATGCACATAAGGAAATGTACTGTTTTAATAATTTTAAGTGTATAATTTCATGGCATTTAGATATATTCAGAATGTACACTGCCAGAGCTTTCCCAGAATTTCTTCATTATCCAAACGAAACTCTTTAGTTACTGAAAAAATTACATTCTATTTCTCCCTCTGCAGCCCCTGTCAACCTATATTGCTCTCTCTCGGTCTTTCTCTCTCTCTCAATTAATTTTAAATTAATTTATTTTTGTTTCTTGAACCAGGGTTTCTCTGTGTAACCTTAGCATTGTCCTGGAACTCTGGAACTTGTGCTGCAGACCAGGCTGGCTTTAAACTCAGAGAGAATCACCTGCCTCTGCCTCCTGAGTGCTGGGGTTAAAGGGATGTGACACCACTTCCTGGCTACTCTGTCTATGAATGTTCCTCATTTATGTGGAATCATACAATATTTATCTTTTAAAAATAATGTTCATGTTTTAGCATATGTCAAAATTTTGTTATTTTTAAAGTCTGTAAAATATTCTTCTGTGTGAAAGAAGGTGGTTCTTCAGTGATACCATGAAGTCACCATACCTTCCGGGATGCTTTGTTGAGTTAGCTAACCTATACTGCTTCTTTAGCTTGTGGGGAATCGTTTATTCAGGCATACCTCAGGTCCCTTTACAGCAGCTCCATGTGGACAGCACAGAGTTCTCAGGGCGACATCTCACAGGCATGTGGCAGAATTTCTCAGAACGGTTGGTGTTTTTATCTAAAGCTATGTATGTGCACATAAACATAGACCCGAGACAAGACCTCTGCCTTTTTTAATCGTTAGTTATTTTGATGATCACTTCTTGTTAATTTCATTATCTACAATTACTCAGCACTTAACATTTATTTATTCATCATAAAAAAATGCTGACTTCCATGTTGCCTGGGACACTGTGCCATGCTGAGGAGCACAGACTGATATTTCTCAGAATACTTTTCCACAGTCTTCATTGGAATGAGAACGATGGTTAGTTAACCACAAAGAATAAAAACATTTATTTAAGAAATGCCATCCAGCATCAATTCCAGTTTGGCAGGCTTGTGAAGGGTGGGTGGTGAATGTTTTACATGACACTTGAGATTTAGAAAGCATCGTGGTAATAATAATAAAGGAGGAATACTTACTAAAGCTGAAGAGTAAGTAGTACGTTACCATGATGCAGAAAGCTGAGAACATGCCATGAAAGCTACCACCTTCTCTGGGAACTGAACACGAGGTCGACTTGCAGGACCCTTGTGGGGCACAGTGGCTTGTGACTATGAGGAAGTGAACAGTGGCCATCTGGGAGTCAGTCAGAGAAGTAAAGATCAGGAGACACACAATCTAGGAAGAATGTCTTTGTTCATGGGTTCCTATAAAAATATATATCTTTTAAAAGCCTGAGAGTGCTGGCACACATCTTTAATCCCAGCACTGTCGGGACAGAGGCAGGTGGATCTGTGAGTTTGATGCCATCCTGGTCTACAGAGCAAGTTTCAAGCCAGCCAGAGATAGATAGTGAGACCCTGTATAAAACCAGACCCCCAAACCTGAATAAGCATGTGTACTAATTTTTTCCTATGCATTAAATATCAATGATGATACAGATATCCAAAAATATCTGTTCATTGTAAGCATGCATTATGTCTTCTGCGATGATTACACTATGTATCACCTCATAAAAATTTAAGACTTTGCTTTATTGCTTTCTGGCTTCACTTTTTCCCATCCTGGGAGAGGACAAACGCCTTTAGAGCTCCATCAATCTGACCCTTTGATTTCACAAAGGAGAATAGCTGCCCACTGGCACATTCATCCTTAGTGGCAGTGATTGGACTGCAAATAGGTCTCCTGGCCCCTGATGGGCACTTTCTCATTATTTGAAATGAGTCATCCCTAGCCACATGCCCAGCCTGCGCTTGTTCTACTGCTTCAGTCTCAAATGGGCTAAAGCTCTGGGAGGGAAAGGTTACAGGTCTGCATGGCCCTCCCTGGCTTGTTATATACACGAGGCCCTAAAAGCAGAGGTGGTAGAAATACATTCTCTGCTTCTACCCAAGTGTTCAAAATCAACCCATAACAACACACACGTACATACGTGAGCACACAATGCATACACACATGTGCACACTCAGCCACACCATCCTCTATAAGATATATTCCCTGAGTCAAACACTGTGTGAAAGGGGCCTTTCTAGAGGCTAACATGAGAGGTTACTGATTTTAAGGCAAACAGCTGGTGAATCCCGTACTTTTCACAGGCTCTGTGAATAAAGCCTGGGTCACAGAAGACTACTAACAAGGTCAAGGCCCATCTCTACAGATTCCCTAGCTACCACACTCTCAAAAGAATTGCTAATTCCTGGTAGGAACTGGTTCCAAATTCCAGCAGACACAAAACTACATGTGGCTACATTGTTTCCAAAACCCTGACCATACTGACATCCACTTTGTTTTTGTTTTTGAGATAGGGTTTCTCTGTGTAGTCCTAGCTGCCCTGGAACCTGTGCTGTAGACCACGCTGGCCTCAAACTCAGAGAGCTGTGCCTACATCTGCCTCCTGAGCACTGGGATTAAAGGCATGCACCACCATTGCCTGGCCCTGACATCTACCTCTGATCTCCTACTAATATGCATCAACCCTGCACATGTCCCATCCTGGCCACCCATATTTCTGGGTGACAATGCAAGAATGCTTTGTGGTAATTGATAATCATAAGAGAAGCAGGAAAAAAAGGTAGTCAAACCTCTCATGGCCAGAGCTATTTTCTTCGTGTCTTTCGATTTTCAGTATCATATTTTGAAAATGTCTGTCATGCATGCCTGTTTATGGCTCAACACAAGAGGTAAAAATATTCATGAACTATGAATAATCAGTTTATCATCAGAAAGTTCCATAGTCCTAGGCCTGCAGGAATGTACCTTTCTTGTGCTCCACAGATTTCTTGAAAGCAGACTCACTAACATCTAAGCATTTCTTAAAAACTGCTTTTTAAAATTTTTAATTTTTTATTAATTATAGTTTATTCACTTTGTATCCCAGCTGTAGCCCCCTTTCTTGTCCCCTCCCAATCCTGCCCTCCCTCCTTCTCCTCCCACGCCCCTCCCCCAAGTCCACTGATAGGGGAGGTCCTCTTCCCCTTCCCTCTGACCCTAGTCTATCAGGTCTCATCAGGACTGGCTGCATTGTCTTCCTCTGTGACTTGGTAAGGCTGCTTCCTCCTCAGGGAGAGGTGACCAAAGAGCTAGCCACCGAGTTCATGTCAGAGACATGAACTCCCTTGCTAGAGTACCCACTTGGACACTGAGCTGCCATGGGCTACATCTGTGCAGTGGTGCTAAGTTCTCTCCATGCATGGTCCTTGTTTGGAATATCAGTCTCAGAAAAGACCCCTGTGCCCAGATTTTTTTGGTTCTGTTGCTCTTCTTGTGGAGCTCCTGTTCCCTCCAGGTATTTCTATCCCCCACTTCTTTAATAAGATTGATTCCCTGCATTCTGCCCAGAGTTTGGCTATGAGTCCCAGAATCTGCTTTGATACCCTGCTGGGTAGTCAGAAACTGCTTTCTTAAGTGAAGATGAATCATTTTGTTTAGAAAACAGGAGCCAGCTGGGTGTGTGCTTCATCTCAGGCAAGAAACTGTCTTCGCATCACATTTCGTGTCTCCTTCCATACAGTTTGTTGCCTCTCATACACAGATTCCTGGAAAATTTTCCCCACTTGTGTAGAAAAGCCTTGGCTCTCTTCCTCTAAGGCATTGATGGTTTGTAGGGCCAAGGGAGTCCTTTCCCTAGAAAGAGGGCTGTTCAGGGGCCGCATGGGTATGACAGAGTTGTACTTGTGTTGTCTGTTCACAGAATTCATCAGGGATGTGTAGAACTGGAAGTTACACCAGGTGTCTCTTAAAAAGTTCTCAGTCAGTAACAAGATTGTCCATGCAGACCCATTCACCGCATCATCTAGATTTTGCAAATGCAGCCTTCCACACGGCATCTCAGCAAAAATCATTCCTGGCCTGATACCAAAGTCATTTTGCAGTACATTCTGGACTCTGAGGGCCTCATCTGTGTCATCTTCTGCATGCAGTATCACAAATTTGAGGAACTCTTCTTCAGCTTCCTCCTCAGGCATTTCCCCTTTTGCCTCAGTGCCCTCTTGCTCTCCTGTTGGCTGCCCTGCTCTGTTGCTATGCCCCACAAGACCAGGCAAGGACACAGCCTCAGAGTTCTTGGCCTCTGACTCATGGCAGTCTTGATCTGCATCCACACTATGTCTTTTATGCCAAGAGAGAGGGCAGTTATCTAGTTTAGACTTCCCAACACCCATGGCAGACTGGCGGGGGCAGACAAGAGAGCTTTATTTGAGTATCAATGTTTCTTTTCAGTCTAAAAAAGGAAATAACAAAGCAGAATATTACATGTTTAATCAAAGTATTTAAAACAAAAACTTTCAAACTGGAAGAAAAAAATCAAAAGGACCATAACATAAGGGCCTAAGAAACAAATGGCAGCCACCAAGAAACAAAACTATCAGATTTTTTTGAGCCTCACAAGGGCTGCCAGAGACAAGAGAAAGCTTTTGGTAGCAAACACAAATAGGATGTAAATATCCTAAAGATGAATGATAGTTGCTCTACTGTGTCAGCACCGAGAGGTCTGAAATGTCAGTATTCAGGATTCACTGTATTACCAAGGTGCTAGAAGTGACTGAAAAGAAATTAACATATACAAGAAAATTTTTCTCCAGGTGGTCCTAGGAATGTTAGAGAACATATATCCACCCAAGTAACGTTAACATCTCGGTTTGGATCAGAATCTAGAAACTAAGATCTGCAGGGTTTTTTTTGTGTTTTTTTTTTTTTTTTTTTTTTTCCAGGGAAGCCAACTGAGAATGATGTCATTTCCATTCATTCTTTTGTGAGCTGAAATTCTGGAATTAGAAGAATTAGACCAGCTGCAAAAGAAAAGTAATCCACACGAACAGAATTTAAATAACTTCAGGAGATGTTGGAAATGTTAAATTCAAGGAAAATTCTTTTATCAAAAAAAAGGAAACTTAGGATAGATAAATATTGCTTTCATATTTTTTATATAAGATACAGGCTATCTTATTTATTCTCTATGCTCAAAGACCAGATGAAAAAATAAACTAGGCTTTTGATCCAATGCCTTTTCCCAGCTCACACACGTTCTTGGGCTGCCTTTCTCTTTCTTAATGAACTTTCTCTGTTTATACCACTGTATATGTTTATATAGTCACATACACAATGACCTAAATAATAGTTACAGAGACATACATAATTCAGATTGAGAAGTGGTGACAGTGTTAGGAAAAGCACATACAAAATTTCATTCTAATGCATATGCAGGATAAATGCTGCTGCCCCTGGTTAGTGAAGGAATTGATGGCCACTGCTTGTCATTGATGATACTTTGAGACCAGGCTCCAAGATGCTAGTTGATCAAGAGGTATTCTAACGTACCATTCTAAAATATTGCCCACATACATTGCAAATAATAAAACCTATCTGATTTGCCCCTTCTTTGCTGGCCAGGACCCACTGCTGCCTTTTGTTGCTGGTGAGGGTCTCCTGAGGTCACTGTTCATCATGTGTGTCCGTATGTGTTTAGTATTAAGAACGGTGGAAAAATGGGGCAGAAAAGGTGAATGAGAAGTGCTGGTGGATGTTTTAGTTTTAAATAACTGAGGAATAAAAGACAGAATAAAGAAAGACTAATGAGGACAAGAAGTATCTGTGCAGATACCTGGAGGGAGATCCTTCTGGGTAGAGAACAGCAAACAAACATACAGGTCCTGAGGCTGTTGAATGCCTGGCTTTTGAGGAGCAATAGAAGGTGGGGGGATGGGAGGAGCATGAACTGAGCAGGAGGAAATAGTGAGAAAAGGCAGAGAGGAAGCTTGATCACTCAGTAGTTGCACTAGGACAGAGTGGAGAGTGAGTGCAGATGCAGGAATACCAGTTACAGTCCATCATAGAAGCCCAGCAGAAAGTAGTGGTGGCTTGAGACAGAGTGGCAGCAAAGCAAGTCGCTGGATTTGGGACACTCTTTGAAAACAGAACTGAAAGGAGGTGATGCTGAGTAGGCACCAGAAACTGTGGAGTTAGGACAAAGTCAACCCGGGAGATGCATAGTTGGCATTTATCTTCATAATGCTGTATTTAAAACCTAAAGACCATGTGAGATTATTAAAGGAAAGAGTATAGACCAGAAAGGGAAGTGCCTAGGAGCTGAGCCTGTCTGGTACTTCAACCTCATAGAAGTCATGAAAGAACCAGCAAAGAAGTTGGAGTTGGAGTGGTGGGGACTGTGCCGCCCTAGAAGCCAAGGGAAGAAACAGTTCAAGAGGGTGTTTGTCTTCAAATGCCTCTGATTGGCCCAGGGTGTCGAGCACTGAGAAAATACAGAGAACACAGAGAGATACCATTAGGATGAGTAGACTTGGCACAGTGGGGGTGCAACAGCAAGCTACCATTTCAGTAGAGTTCAAAAATAAGACAGAAAAAAAGCAATATAGAGTGTGTGTGTATGTAGGATGAAGAACAACCTACAGTGTCAGTCCTCAGGGCCTACATGCCTTTTTTGAGACAGGAATCTGTAGCTCAACAATTAGAGTATGGCTGGTTGGTCAGCAAGCTCCAGTGATCCAAGTTTGCTGGGACCACAAAAACACACCTCCACCCCCAGTTTTGTTTTGTTTCTTAAACATTGGTTCTGAAGATCAAAACCAGTCTTCTTGAAAGCACTTTTCTGAGTTATCTCCTGAGCCCTAAAAAGCCATTTTGAAAAGTTTTATCACAAAGAACAAAGGTAGAAAAATGAAGTAAGGCTGGCAGAGGGGAAGGGATACCTAGAGAAGGTCATTCATAAAAATGCCTGTCAGTGGCAAAGAGCAGGTATTGAGGAATAAATTGATTCATGCATGAAGTAAGGGGCAGACAGTGATGTGCTGGGTAGGCAAGATGGAGTAGTCAGCCTTTGCCAGGTAAACAGGCAGGATTAATGGCATGGGTACAAATGTGTGCGTGCATGTGTGTGTGTGTCAGGGCTAGTAGTGGTGGATATGTGTAGATAGTCTCTTCTTCAACCATTCCCAGGAAGACAGGATAGAGACCTTTCTGCAAACTGCCTCAGATCTCATTTTAAAATGTAATGGGAGGCTCCTGATGGAGAGAAATACCATGTCTCCATGGTATTATTCCTCCCCAACCCCAAAGCTGATGAGCCTCAAGCTCCCTCTTCAGCCCAGAGGATATCTGTGTTAGGAAGGATAGCAGGCTAGAGCAGCAGAGCCCTCCTTTCTGCAGCAATTTCCCAGGAGGTCCCTCTGGGGTGTCCCAGGTCCAAGCCATCTAGTCCTGCCCATGACATCAGTATGAACATCCCTTTCTTGCTAAGCTTAGTCTCTCCATTCAGCTCTTTGTGATGGTTAATTTCATGTGTTGCCTCACTCGGCCTTGGTAGCCCAGTGTTTGGCCAAATACCAGTCTACAGAGGTTATTGACGTTTACATCAGTAAACTCTGAGTGAATGGGATTAGCCTTCATAATTAGCCACATCCCATCAGCTGGACAACCAAAGGAAGGACTCTGCCAGCAGAAGGCAACACAGTCTTTAAACTCAAGAATGTAGCAACTCATTCTTGTTATTATTGGTTGTTGTTATTCTGGACTGGAGACTGAACCTAGCTCCTAATGCTAGGGGCCATTTTATCCCTGAGATAACTTCCCCAACCTCAGGAATGCTCTCTCTGAATTCTCAGCCTGGTTTGCCCTACTCAGCCCTCTCAGTCCTACAAACCATTTCTTTAAAATGTATCCTTCTCCCCAGCCTCCATGTATGTCACATTGGTCCCGTTGTTCCAGAAGGAACCCTAATGTAATATCCTTCGGAAGGCTGGAGAGGTAACTTACCTGATAGAATTCTCACTTAAGAGTTTCCTGTCATTAAGTTAAAAGTTAATGTTCATCTTTTAGAAACATTAGACCACCTGGGAAGAGAGGCTCTCAAATGGTAGGAGTAAAATTATAATTAATGAAAATCTGATAAAATGCATATACACATAAACTTTCAGTCTGTTTATCACAGGAAGAGATTAAATATTTAAAGGGGAACTTTTGAAATGCAGTGCATTTAAAATCCTAGTATGTTTGTGATACTTGAACTGGCGAGCCTTTTTTTCTTTCATATCTGAACTGCACCATCTTGTGGTAGAAATACGTAAAATCAACGGTTTCTTGTCTGACTAAGGCTTTGTTGGAAAGTTATTTTACATCTAGACTTGCTGGGCACTCAAGGAGGGCAACCTGCAGCAAGAAGCAGGGAGCAACAGCAAGGATCAGCCTAATCCTCAGAAGCGCTCAGGAATCAGGAGAGAACAGGGTTAAGAGAGGAGGTTGGGGAATTTAGAGTAGAAGAGACTTAAGAGTATTATGTTAGGGATGTGGAGAAATGACTCCGTAATTAAGCACTCATACTGGGCTTCCTGAGGAGTTGCGTTCAGATCCCAGCATCCATGTTTGATGTTCACAACTGCCTGTAACTTCAGCTCCAAAGGATCCAATGCCTTCTTCTCCACCATACCTCCCAAACCATTACACTGTCTCTACCTTATTTTCATTTTAGATCAACAACTCTCCCTTAATATATATATTTCATTCTTTCCTAATATCTAGTCCATTCTCCAACCAGCAGTCAGACTGAACTAAACACACATACCTGATCAGGTTAATCCCATCTGCAACGCTGATATGACCCACTGTACTTAGAATCCAAACCATGACAAATAATGTCCTATATGGCTCCTCCTGCTTTACTCTCTCATCTCACACCTTTCTATTATTCCTTCAGTGCATCAGCCTGGAGGTCTTCATGGGCCCTTTTTAGTTATGACTGGCTTAGTTTCTCTTATAGCAGGACCTATGAAGACATTTTTATTGTATGTTTGTCATGAGTAATGTGAGTTTATTTTCTTATTATAAGAGCTCTTGTACATTGGCTATCCAATATTCTATTAGAGATCATGATGATTAATCTTTATTGTCAACTTAACAGGGTTTGGATTCACTTAGGAAACATACCTCTGGGCATATCTAGGGTGTTTCTAGAGTAACCGAGGAGGGAAGAACCATCTGAATGGGTCAGCAGTCCATGGGCTTGGGACTCTGAATGAAAAAAACAAACAACAACAACCAAAAGAACCCAAACAAAGAACATGAGCGGAGAACAGCCTTTTTGCTTCCTGACTGTAGCAAAATGTGACCAACTGTCTAACCTGCTGTGATGGACTGAGGTCCTCTGAACTGTGAGTCAAAATAAATACTTCTTCCCTTGAGTTGCTTTTTGTCAGGTGTTTGGTAAAATAATATAGGGTCAAGTAACTGAAATGTCACAGATTTGTTATGGTAGGCCACTGCTATAACCCCAGTTACATAGGAGGAGGATCACAAGTTCAAGCCTGTCTGGGCTGCAGAGTGACCTCATGATCAATTTAGGCAACTAATGAAGAGCCTGTCTCGGAAATTTACAAAGGGCTAGGGGAACAACTAAGTGACTTGTCTAGCATATGCAAAGCTTGGGGCCCAGTCCCTAATACTGAAGAACAAAAAAGACCCCAACTCTGGCAAATGTAAATGCAAAATGCTAGTTTATATTCCTATGGCAGAATCCTCTCATAAACATCAATAATGTTTATGAACAAATTTAGTTATAGGACAAAATCCTTCTGTAATACTTAGTTGATATAAGATAGTATATATAGGATGATCTCAGCTTTGTAATACAAAATACAGATAAAGTAGGCAGAAAAGAACTATACCAAAAGGTTAACATTGTTTATCTGTAGACGCTATGCATGTAAGAACATGTATTCTTTGTTCATATATATATATATATATATATACACATATATATGAAGAATACACATATTTCTCACATACATAAATATACATAAGTTTATGTATTTTATAATAATTATGCTATATGAAGAAAAAGGAGATTAATATATAAGAAATATTTTCTAGGTTTTGTCTTATTTATTTATTTATTTTTTATTTTTAAATAATTTTATACATTTACTTGTATCCCAGCTGTAGCCCACTCCCTCTTTCCTTCCCAATCCTCCCCTCCATCCCTCATCTCCTCCCTGCCCCCTTCCAAGTCCACTGAGAGGGGGTGTCCTCCTCTCCTTCTGTCTGGCCCTAGCTTATCAGGTTGCAATGTCCTTATCTGTGGCCTAGCAAGGCTGCTCCTCCCTCAGGGGGTAGGGGAAGCTCATGAGTTCATGTCAGAAACAATTCCTGTCCCCCTTACTAGGGAACCCACTTGGATACTGAGCTGCCATGGGCTATGTCTCAGCAAGGGTTGTAGGTTATATCCATGCATGGTCCTTGGTTTTGTCTTTTAAAATGCAATTAATTCAAGGCCCATATAGCATGGGTTAAGCCATCTTCATATTTAACTGTATTTAATTTTTACATATATGCAAATTTTACAATGGCATGGGTTTGTTAATACCACAGTAAATCCAGCTCCCAGACTTTTTCTAGCCCCCCCAACTATAAAAACACTGCTTAGTCACCTGAACATAAGCATTGTCACAGCACGAAAAAGAGGCCCCAGAGAAAGCTAATGCTTAATTACTTTAAAAACTGCCTCTGTCAGAGGACAAAAACAGAAACAGAAAGTTGATTTTCATCTGGCCATCTAACTGTCTCTTAGCCTTCCTTTCCACTCCCTGCCAAATCATTGCCTATTCTCTTTGGTATATGTGATGGTACCAAATTCAAAGTTCTGGGGTTATGGGCACATTGTACCATTTCTAGCTCTTTTCTTTCACTTTATATATTTAAAGGACAAAATGAGAACTTGTATTAAAAATATCTCCCAAACAAGAAAGATGCTTTGTTTTTTTAAATAGAATTTTAAGGCAAGGTAGTGGTAGAATGGCACTTAAAGAAAAGATGGTCAAATAGTTTTAACATTAGCAGAAGCAAAACAGATGTAAAGATATTACAATTTCAGCTGGGAAGTGGTGCCGCATGCCTGTCATCCCAGCACTTGGGAGGCAGAAGCAGATGGATCTCTGAGTTTGAGGACCACTTTGTCTACAAAACAAGTTCCAGGACAGCCGAGTACACACAGAGAAACCCTGTCTCAAAACACAAAACCAAACAACAAAAAAGATATCAACATTTCACAGAACACAGTAGTCCATTCTTATTCCTGGTTGTTTTCCTTCAATTTCAGTTACATGAGGTCAACCACAATCTAAAATTTTTAAATGGAAAAATCCAGAAATGTGTAATTCTTGTTTTTGATTTCTTGCTGTTCTGAGCAATGTCCCACCTGGACCTGAGTCATCCTTCTGTCTGGCATATTTACACTGTATATGCTACTTGCCTGGCAGTCACTATGTAGAATATCAGATAATTGTCAGAAAAGTACAGGATATGTATTCAGGTAATCCTTATTTTGGTAATTTTATTACAATATGCTGTTACCATGGTTCTATTTTATCAGTTATTAATTTCTTACTATGCTTAATTGATAAATTAAGCCTCATTGTGGGTATGCGTACAAAGAAACCCTTATTTTCATATGCTTTAAGAGGTTCCACATTTTCAGGAACAATCCAGCAGGAGGGCTGCTGTACTAGAATAGCTTCAGTACCTGCAGCTCAGTCACAGGCTAGTGGCAAAATATTTCTTGTTATAACAGGGCAGTATTCCCTTCAGATGCACATGAGAAGGAACACAGGAGTGAAGGAGTAAAGTCTGTGGTAGTTAACTGTCACTGTGGCAGAGGGAAGACAGAAGAGATCAGGAACTCATGCTTTCATAGCCACTATAAAAGCTTTTTTTCTCTTCCTTTTATTTTTTTTTAATCATTCTGATGAGAAATTACCAGATAGCTTTGAAGAAAGTAAAAGTTCTGACATACTAACTGCAGAGAAGCCAGGGTGGGAAGAAAAACCATAATCTCCTATGGTTTAGCTTGAGAGGAAGAAGGCAATCAGCCACTCCTCAGCTTCTGTTTGTTGGTTAAGTGTGGGGTCTGAGCTAAAAAGAAGTTAAGCCTGACATGGTGGTGCATGCCTTTAATCCCAGCACACAGGAGGTAGATGAATCTCTGTGATTTTGAGGCCAGCCTGGGCTACACAGTGAATTCCAGCCTACACAGAAAGACCCTGTCTCGAACAACAGCAGCAGCAACAGCAAAAACCCAACCAAAAGAATAAAGACAAGAGTGATTCCTGGGGCTGAGGACATAGCCCCGAGGTAGGGCACTTGTTGGTCAGACACAGGGCTCAATGCCCAGTGCTAGCAGAAAATAACAATTCTTGGAGTGTGAACTTACATGAATGGCAGCAGTTTTCACGGAGACGTGGAAGGTTACAAAACGAAAGCACAAGAGAGCGAGGACTGAGTGTGTTGTGTATAATCTCAATAGTTTTGTTTGCATATACTAAATTAAAACATCTATCAGATTGCTAGTTGGACATGTCAAAAGACCTGGATGTATGCTGGCAAACCTAAAAAGAAGTAAAGCTAGAGATTACAATTAGGAAGCCATTATCTTATAGGTGTTACCTATAGTCAGGGACTAATGGTTCTGGGTAGAAGTCATCTTAGGCGAAAGTATCTCTGGAAAAAGATGATGGCCAAGCCCCGAGCCCCGTGGCACCTAAACATTTAGTGATTGAGAAGCTTAAGTGACCAGCAAGCTGAGAGCACAGGAAAACTCAGTAAGTTGCAATGAAGTCAAATGAAGAAGACAGACCATGGAGGAGGAGCACATCAAAGACAAGAGCAAATGACTGCTCAGGAAAGAGGAGTACTGAGAACTGTGGACGGATACCAGATTTCACAAGACTGTCCCGAATGACACCCAGGGCTAGCAGGGGGAAAGAGAGGGGGAAAAAATAGGAGAAGTAGGAATGGAGGCCCAGAGGCAAGGCTTTCAAAGAGGTTATTTTACAAAAAAGGAGCCAAGAAGTGGGGATGTTTGTCCTGGGGGAATTACTTAAAGATGGTATTTAACATTATGCATTTGTTAAAATAATGAATAAAAAAAACAAACAAATGAGAAGCAAATGAGATATGATTGAACAATATAAGCATGGTTAGTACATCAAGCCTCACACAGCGGCACTGACTTTGCCTCAAATATAACTTATTACTCTATTTGCGCTCATCTGTTTTCTGATATGATATAAAATGCAGCTAACTTCGGTTATGTCCATCACATTACTTAGTGTTAGGTGAGGGGTTTTGTTGCTCTTTGTTTTCTGCAAGACAGGGATTCTCTTGTAGCTCTGGCCATCCTGGAACTCGATCTGTAGACCAAGCTGGCCTGGAATTCAGATCCACCCCCCTCTGCTTCTTGAGTGCTGAGATTTAAGGCCTGTGCTACCACCACCCGACAAAGTGTTGAGTAAGTAAAAATTATATTTTTAAATACTTTAAAAAGGTTTACTGCTCTAGAAACTTTGAGTGGTCCTAAGTAATAAAATATGAAACCACCTCACAGCAGCCTGCAAAAATGACTTCCATTCAAATTAGCCCTAGAAAAGCAGAAAGAACAAAGAAAAACCCACAAAACTTCATGCACTGGCTCTGTGTGGCTGGCTGAAGCTGGCAGAGAGCTCTAAACGCCTCTTAAGACACTGGCACCTTTCAAAATTACATTCTCAGCACTCCATAGGCTAAGGCAGGAGGATTGGAGTTTGAGGCTAGACTGAACTATAAAGAGATGGAGGCTAGTCTCGACTACATGTCTGTTCTGTAAAAAAGTTTTCTAGTCAAAATGAAACACATGACTAACAAACAGGGACGCAGGGTTTCCCTTCAGAACAGTGTCTGAGGGGCAGGCCTCGTGCCTCTCCATTGGAGGGCTGCCTGTTCTGAAGGGAACCCCGCGCAGACATGGGCCACATGCTACTCCCCAGCCTGCCCGTAACTTGCCTGGGAAGCAGTGCTGCACGGCCACGAGGCTCTTCAGTCTTCCTCTCACACTGAGCAAGCCCTTGCTGATAGGTCACTTGCCACAGAGGTCCGAAAGTTAGGATGTGACTGTCGTAAATCTGGTTCCAAAGCCAATGCGCGGCTCTGCACACCACACCCACTGAGACTGCAGAGGACCAAGTCCAGGGCAGGCCATGAAGCCCTTAGTTTAGTGGTCGTGCTCTGTGTCTCTGTGGGGTCCCGGCCTGGACAGACTGGGCCACCAGCTACGAGTGCAGGGTGGGGATGCACTGTCACCAAGAGGAAGCAGATGGCTAAGGGCGGAGGAGGGGAACTGCCTTGGGGAACTGTCACTCAGGCAAATACTGGCTGGGTTCACTGGTTTCTGCTCTCTTCCTTTTAAGTTTCTGTTTTTCTCCTTTTAAATGAAGCTTCGAATTCCAGGCTAAAAGAAACAAGAAATGGAATTCCACTTCTGTCTGTTCCTTACAGACCAAATAAAGCCGAAGGCCAATAGAAAACAACCAACCAAACTATCCAAAAACAACAAAAATCAAGTAAAAGTACAAACTTTCCAGAGCTCCTGACCTTGATTTTTACCTTAGACTCCAATGCTGGTCATACCTGAAAAGTTTA